TTGGTAAGATATGACAGGACTGGTTAAAATGATCAATTTACCCCCAGTGAGTTGTTTAGTATTTTTTTAACTAAGAAGAAAAAACTACTACCAACAAGCGCACAACCAATTAAAATGAATTGAATATCAAATAGTAAATAAAATATAAGCATCAAGAAAACAATTTGGCTAGTGATCCAATATAGTATCATCACATTCACAAAACTTGGATTCCAGAAAACAAAAGAATTCACCTATCACCTGTACAATCACTCATGTAAGATCAAAATCAAATATTTACTACTCTAATCAAGGAAAAATATACAAACTCATCGAAAACAACAAATTGCATGCGTGAACCTTATGCAATACGTTTGATGGTGGTAAAATCAAGAAAACAATTTATGTAATTTATTAAGTTATAATAGAATAAATATTTTTTATAACAAAATATATCATTTGAAGTTTTCGTCAAAACAATTAAAATGACACCAAATAAAAAGTTTATCTTGTTTTCTATTTTTTATTTTTATCTCTTTTCTACATTATTTTTTATTATTAATATATAATAAATTACATAAATTAATAAAAATATAGAAACCGTATAAAAATAATATTTTGAGAACAGTAAAATGAAAATTTAAGAAACATAAAATACAATAAATAAAATTTAAAGAATGAATAAAATATAAAAGAGAAACCTATGATGTTTTAGAAGAGAATTAAGTTTTATTTTGAGGTTATATTGGTAAAATATAAGTCTGTTCCACCTTGTTCAATGGGGTAGGGGTGGAACAAGCCTGTTACACTTTGTTTCACTATGTTCCTGTCTGTTCCACATAAAATTCATGCCAAACATGAGACAGGGATCCCTGTCCTGTTCTGTTCTGTCTCTGTCCAGTATACCAAACGCACCATAACATCATAGGCTTTGATTACACGGACTAGAGACACTCGTGATCCAGAGACCAGAGGCTATCAAAATGAACTGAGTTAAAAAACAACCGACCAAAAAAGGTACAACTTACAAGAATATTTTATTTTGACCGAGCCAAAAGAGAAAGCTGGTTGGTGTGACTGAACATCTTTTGTATTTTTTTTTTTGTTTTATAAGTAATTTATGTATTAAATAAGATAAAAAAAAACTATATTATCAAGATGATATATAATATCTTGCATAAAACAATTTTAAGAGACAAAAAAAACATTTGGTGTAGCGATATCGTAACATTCGTCCTTTTAGAAGGTCAGGGTTTTAAACATCATCAAATATAATTAAAACGAGTAAGTTTATTTGTTGCATTTACCGTATATAAATATTATATACTTAAAAAAAAGGGTAAGTAGGAAAATTGATGACATAATCAATCTATAACTATATTTTAAAGCAACTTCTAGAATATTCTGATTTCACATGTTTATCCTAAAACATCTTTTCTAGTTAAAAAAGGATAAAAAAACGATTTAGGCAATATTTTTAGTTTTTAAATCACAATTTATATTTTTATAATTGGTTATTTAATCCGCATTACATCCTTTATTTTTTTAATCGTTTATAATATCAACATAAATAATCATATTTTAACTAGAATACATATAAAAATATTTTTTTAAATTATATCTTTATAATCATCTTATCAATACCTTCAAAATGATCTCAATATTAAATACTTTTGGATTTAATCATATAATTAAATATCATAAATATGCATAAATAATTTTTAATACTCATACTTTGTATCATTATAGTTATTTATTTAGTTTGTAAGTATAAGAGTATAAAATGCAAGTATTAAAAATTATTCGTATGTATTTATGATATTTAATAATATGATTAAATCAAAAAATATTCAATATGTATTGACGAGAGTATTATAATGGTATAGTTTGTAAAAAAAAACCTATTTTATATGTATTCTAGTTAAGATACGATTATTTATGTTAATATGATAAGATAAACATACTCCAAATTCCATTTACCTTCTTTCATGTTCCTCCAACACAAACATGCAATCATACTTTTGGTTTTTCAAAATCGAGTTTTTCTCTCTCTAAATTTGACACCGTATGGAAGAAGACTAAAAATCTTTACATGATGTGTATAAAGATCAGTACAACATGCAACCTATAAAGCACAAACTCCTTTAAAAAAGAGGAACCACGCTGTAGCACCTTGCGGCACCGCAAGCTGGGCCCTGCTTTGCAACACTGCAAGCTGGGGTCTTTTGTCACACCACAACTTGCGGTTTTGAAAAACATTTTTGTGGCGTCATTACATTTTTTATCCCACTCTGAATATGTCTGAAATGTTTATATTGTAAGAAAAAATGGATTGCATTGTCAAGTTTACGGGATATAAAAGAAAATGTGGAAAAATTATTTTAGGTGACTAAATCTTAAATAGACTTTTGGGAAATTGTCCAAAATAACCATTTCTCTCTTTTAAATTGGTCTTTTAGTCATTTTTCATCCTGATTTACCCAAATGTCACTACCTATGTAAGTTCCACCTCCTCCACTTGAAGACCTAGCTAAAAGACAAGAAAAAAACAGATTCAACTTAGGTCCGCAATTTTAATCATATCTAACCAATTAAACTTATTAAAGTTAAATGTGTAGAAAAAAGAAATAATATTTTGTTAAATGTATTGAATATTTTATTAATATAATTAATGTTAGAATTATTAAAATAGGGTAACTGTTGGAATTAAATATAATTTTTTTAAAGATTTAGATTTTTCATATTTTATTATAAAAATTATAATATAACTGTTGAACATGTTACGAATAAATCGGGAAGATAACATTTGTACAACCCAACCAAATGCTTGCGGATTGAAAAATCTTAATACAGCCTAACCCGAACCAAAGTGCAACCCAATCCAACCTGTATGGGTTGGTTGGGTTAGTCGGATTGATACATTGGTATATTAAAATATTATTCTAACCTAAAATATGTTATTTCTCTAATCATAATTTCTTTTTCATCATCAACCATTTGATACAACTTATCCATACTTCTTACGTATATCATATTTAGTTAATTTTCTCAATTTGTTTTGATTAACCTGGATATCCAACCCGTTATGCGAGCTGACTAATCTCAGGATGATCACCTGCTTTGCAATTAGCCCGGAGTCACCTCATTTGAACCTCCGTAGCCACAAATGAATTTTTATTCCTTCTTGAACTTGAACTTGAGATCTCCTGGTACTTTTGACCTTTGGAGTCAAGCTCAAACCAATCAGGCATCACCCTTGTGGTTAATTTTCTCAATTTACATATATATGTTCACAGTTACTGAACATATATACGAATGAAGGTGGAGGTTCAAACGAGAACCCTTGTAATTTACGAGAACCCATGTAATTTACGAGAATGCAAGAACAACCTAATAAACTTAAACTTTTTTAATTAATAAATTAACTTATATTAAATATAAATAAATTAATAAGGGCAGTAATGTAATTAAGTAATTTTTATTTTATTTTAATTAATCATAATTATCCATTTTTTTTCTGCACGTTCGTTTCCACACTCTTATCTCCTCTTGTGATAATTGTGTGATTGTGTAACCATAACCTATCGAAACCATGATCAATCAAGTGTAACCATAACCTATCGAAATTATGAATAATCGTTGTGACAAATGTGTGATTGTCTAACCCTAACCGACGAAACCATGATCAAATTGAATGCGCAAGTGATGTTATAATAGTGATATCACATGATTATCACATCTATATCACCCAAATTGTTTAGTGGATTTCGCTCGTAATCATTGTGATAAATGTGTGATTGTCTAATTCTAACTTATCGAAACCATGAGTAATCGTTGTGATAAATGTGTGATTGTCTAACCCTAACCGATCGAAACCATGATCAAATCGAGTGCGCTGTTATGATAGTGATATCATATGATTATCACACCCATATCACAACAAATCGGTAGTCGATTTTCTAAGTTAACCCTAGCCGAGCGGAATCCTTGTGATAATTGTGTGATAATCACATGATTATCACACCCAAATCACACCAAATCGTGTTGATATAAGCGATAATGTGATAATTGTGTGATAATCACATGATTATCACACCCATATCACACCCAAATCACACCAAGTCGTGTTGATATAAGCGATAATTGTGATAATTGTGTGATAATCACATGATTATCACACCTAAATCACACCCAAATCATACCAAATCGTGTTGATATAAGCGATAATGTGATAATCACATGATTATCACACTCATATCACATGATAATCACATGATTAACCGTTTATTAGATAATGATAATGATAATCATGATCGTGTAATCGTGTTAAAAGATTTTATGATATCATTTCCATTATTACCCTTTTAATTTTAATATTTTTTGAATCTTTTTAAATTTCAATTTTAATTTTAAAAATCTTTTAATTTTATTTTTTATCACAATATGAGGTTATTGAGTTGTTCTCGCGTTCTCGTAAATCACAAGGGTTCTCGTTTGAATCATTCCCTACGAATGAATTATATAAATATGTGAATAAATTGAAAATATGTGTATATAAAAAGCATACATGATAATGTAATTGTCTAATGTATATATTAATAGAAATTCAATAATCATATTAAATCCAAAAAACAAAAAGATATTTGGTTCATCGGGTTGAGTTGAGTTTAAATAATAGTAACCCAATACCTACGGTTTGATAATTTTATAACTCGATTAAACATCAGATTGTTTCAGATTAAATTATTTCGTGTTGATTGGATTGAGTTAATCAGATTGATCGGATTATAGGGTTTTTGAGCACCCTAGCTAGCACACGATATACCTTTTCCCTAGAATTTTTGACCCGCTATTTCCACGCCTATTTTACCACGTGCTGAAAAGTTATGGGTTATCCGGCCCCATCGTTCGTCTACGGTGAAATTGGTATCTTAATAATCTGATGGCCCATAAACAGCCTAACACGTGTCACCCCATTTGGCTAATTCCCTCCACTTCTCTGCCACATAATCTTTATACTGGAAATCTACAGACTCGACGCCCGCCATTGATACGACAGTTCCTCAGACCAGCCTACTTACCGGATATTCATTCGTTCGAGGTGAGTGTCTTCTAATCTTTAATCACTTACTTTTTCTATATAATGATGTTAAATGGTTCACTGTCGATTTGATTGTGATTTGTGGGTTGGTAGATTCAGTAAAAGAGTGCATTCAACGTGTTTGATAAAATGTCTATTAGAGTTCCTTTCGCTTAACTAATTGGTCTTGACACGGAAATGCTGTAATGCACGGAAAAATATGTAGATTTTACTTGCTTTCTATTAACTATTTGACACGGAAATGCTGTAATGCACCCTCTCGCCGGCAGGCCCTCTGCGCCTGCAAAGTGGAGTGATACCCACCAGTAGTATTGGAACGGATCTCTAGGAATCCAACCATTTGGACTAGCTGCAATAGGGATTCGAACTCATATAATCTCGGGATTATTTAGATTCTAGAGGAAGTTTAATCAATTCGACATGCCCAGCTTAGTTTCCTCCTTTCTGTAATTGGAGTTCCTTTTGCCACATCTTTTTTCCTTCCAAAATGAGTCACATTCAGTGCGAATTCATGCAATTGCTTGACGAATCCTCGAGATTCACAAGTATTGGAATGTGAACTTTAATTGTGTAATGGGAGGAGTAACTGTTTGGGTTTTGATCTTTGTGATCATTTTTTCTTATATGAGGGGTGAGATTTTGAGTCTCTCTCTCTCGACAAATGTGTTGCATTGAATTCAAGAAATGGTTAGAATTATGTTGCACTAATCGTTTAATTTTTTCTTTTCATCAATGCAACCTTTTAGTGGATTGAAGATAAGATGATGGAAAACTTTACCCCGAATAATGCCAAGAGAACTATAGATACAAAGAAGAGAAATAACATGCCTTAAAAGAAAGATGGAAATGAGGTGCAAATTCGAAAGTAATCGTCAATTGCATGAAAAGTCATCATACGCATGCCCTTGACAAGAAGGTGCAAAGCCCCTATTCTGGGATTGTCCCTAGAGTCTGTCTTTTTTTCCATAAATTGAATGTGGTCACCAATAAGTATCACCATTCATCTATTTGTTCAAGCTTCGGAGATGACTTTACGAAGGTTTTTTCTCCTTAAACCCTTGTGAATAACATCTAATTGGTAACCTGAAAAACTGCTTGCTTGCTTCTTTCTGTATTTGCATATTTTTGTTGAGAACATATTCTCTCTTCTATTATTTAGTGGATGTCTTGTCCTCCTCATGTAATTATATGTGAAACACTTCATAAAATCTTCCATAGTTGTTAAAGTGACGCGTGCCTAGGCTCTAAGGCTCAAGGTCTTGGGCTTTTCTAAAGTCGAGGCTAGGCGTATTCACAAGGCTCACTAAGGCGTTGTGCCTTGGCCAAGGCGCCTTGCGGGCCTAGGCGTGCCTCATAAAGAGTTATTAGCCACCTAGTTAAACCTTAATATTAAAATTTTCTCATCTTCTCATCTCATCTCCTAGACTTCTTAAAAAAAAAGTTACCTCCTCGGCCCAAAAATAAGTGTCCACATTTCTACTTTAATTTGTCCTGAAATAAATGTCCATTTCAAAAAATTAAGTGCATACTTCCACATTCTACCCTTAATTATGAGATGGAATTAATTACTCTATTATTAAGGGTAAAATTGTCATTTAGTTCATTAAAAGTGTAATAATTACACTTCTCTAAACTGTGTGCCATTGTAGACACTTATTCTGGGCCAGGGGAGTATAAATAGATAAGTCAAACCCTAATATTAAATACCCGGTCCTTAAAACTTCAATCCTCCTCTATAAATACCCAGACCCTAAAACTTCTACTCACAGATCATGCTTTAAACCCTTCTCCCTTCTGCAATCTATCAAAGTTCTGCTGGTTGCTGCATTGGAGGCTTGTACTTGCCGCATATTTAAGTCGTGTGTGACTGTTTGTGTGTGTGTGTGTGTATGTATATAATTGGAAAAGATGCGCCTCGCAATTCTGAGGCCCGTGCCTCACGCCTGCTCCTCGTGCCTAGGCCCCGGGACCCCTTTGCGCCTTGAGCCTTTGACAACTTTGGTTGCATCCTAGGAGATGCTTTTTTTGGGGTTTTGCATCCTGGGGACAATGCCTTGGAGGTGAACTGCCCAAGTGGGAAATGATCATCTAATAACACAAATTAATTTATCATTTGCCCATAATTGTTTTCTTTTGTTGTTTGGTTTAGTAGTTACCACTTACCACAACATCAACCACTCTTTGTCCCAAACTAGTTGGGGTAGACTTGGCAAATATATATTGTCACAGTAAAAAAAAACAGCGAGGAACAAAATATGCCACTGGTTTAAACAATGAGCATTCTTTCTTTCCATGTCTCCTATAAAAAGGTCAAGTCCTTGAGCAATATGGAGTTGTTACAATCTGAATTAAGTCCTTGCTACTTCACCTATTCATACTAATTTACTATTTGTTATGCTCCAGTGATTGAAGTCAAGAGTGGCTTCTGTAGTGAGTTTGAAATCCTTTACAGCATGTTAATTCTTTTTTCTGTTTGAGTTCAAAACCATTTCCTCAACGAAGATGTAGAGGAAACAGAAATTCGCTACAATTTATCATTCTGTTGTGCATGTTAATTGCCAGATTAGATATCTCATCGATTCACTGCTGTTGCCTTATTTGAGTGGTCTTTTTTGTAGTGCTTTTTTGAAAAGAAATGATTCCTTGCTCCCTTACATATGTTTTCCATGTATCTAAGTTGTTTATATTTGTTTTGATGTTTGTATATATTAGGATACCAGCACCATGAAGTGTCATACGATGGGCACATCAACACAAGGATTGTTATCTGGGTAAGACTTCATATCGGTGCAACTTTGGCAACAATGACAGGTTCTCTTATTTTCTGGATGATCAACACAGATTTTAAAATTATTTGCTTTCTATTTCTTTCCTTTTTTTTTTCTGAATGTTATTTGATAATATACAATACGTCATGTAATTTGAATGGTGGAGAATTTCTTTGTTTTTTAACTTCAAAGAATTTTATCTTTTTCTATATCCTGGTTGCAAATGTTGTCAAATTCTCTCTATCAAAATTACAACTGATAAATTTTCTTCTCAAATCATCTTTTTTCTGCTACTATCTTGACAGTCAATGCGGTAGCAAACCCATATCATGGTCTTTATGGCCAAATAGAAGTTCAAGTCCAGCAAATATATATGGATTCCAATATAATTTGGTTCGCTGGTGTTTGAGGAAGGATTTTCGGAAATTCTATAATGTAAATCAAGACTATTGTCTGAGTCATGGTATTCGCTATGCCCACTGGAGACTATTTTGTTTGCCTACCACTCTTCAGGAAGAATCGTCATCACCGCAGTCAAAAAATTCCTCAAAGGGCAATGAGTATGGTTCAGAGGCTTCCTCAGAAGACGTTCTTGAACAACCAATCAGCAATGATCAGGTATATCAACATTCGTGCGTTATTTGATTCTGGACTAGCGCTCTAGTATCTGACCTATCTCCTGCATACTATGTTAGATCAACAATCATGCTCATATGTGTTCATCGATAAAGTCAGCAATCAAGTAAGGCTTGTCCAAACCCGTTTCTAAGAACCAAACGGATAATAATTAGATGTTTCATTCAAGTAAAATCTTGGCTTTAAGGGTGTCTTGGGTGAATCTTTTATGGCCTTCTAAGTTCTTCAAAGTAGTCTAATTAACTAAACCTGGGTGCCCAAATGACCAAATTTTGTCTTTGTGGTGATTAGAACAGCAAGAGCCAAGTTTGTTGCCATTATCTCATTATTTCCTATTCCTCTTGTTCTTCGCTATATTGCTTTTAAGTGTTGGTCTTGTTGGAGTAATTCATGAATAGATTGAGAAAGCAGTGAGTATAGAACTTGGATAAAATCTGAGATCGCGTGAGAGCTCGCTTTTTTTTAAAGTTATGCTTCAACCCATATCTGCCTGGGTATCACAAAAGTAACTCAAGGATAATCTCAAACCTTCGTAACAATAGAATTGTAATGGTTCTTGTATTAAGGTCGAGAATAACTCCCCATTAAATGGAAATGATTGCTGGAAATAGGTAGTGGGAGGTTACAAAAGAAGGGCAGTGACAAAACTGAGGTAATACCCATAAGCAAGCTGAAGCTTCAGCTAGCTGATAACAGATCACTGGTAAACATCAGCTACCTAAAAAGCTACGGCTAGCTGATAACCATCTGTTAGCTGAACACACAGATAACCACCTAAACCATCAGTGCTTACAAACATTGGCGAACAATCACTGATACACCACTTGACACTGAAATCCTTAGTGTCTGCTCCCTTACGTTTAACTTTTAATTTGGCTGCAGCCCCTCTGACTCCCGCCATATGACGACATCCGGTAATCCTATGCTCTAGCTAGCTTACATGAATATGCACTCCACACCTCTTGAACCGGCCGTGATATAGCTTAACTATCAACCCCATATTCTTGTGAATCCACTTACACAAAAAAATAGACTGATGATTTCACTAAAATCACGACACAGGTCTTGCAGGTTTTCAAGGGTCTGTCTTATTCCTTTTCATTTGCAGTATGGTGCTTTTTCTTAACGCTACATATTCTTCTGGATAGCTGAAGTCACTTCTTGCTGATCATGAGAGGGCGAAGCTCTTAAGGAAGCTGAGTGAGGCCAATCAACATAACCGGTATCTCAAGCGTCAGGTCTGCAACTACAAATTTTCAACATTACTGTATCTTGTAGTCTTAACTCAAATGTTTTACTATTGGAATATGTTTCTGCTTACATAAGCTATCTATACCTAGCTGAAAACAATCATTGTACTTTAGTGATCAACTTCCATATGTACTTTAGTTATGGACTCATCTTGTAGTTTAGTGATAGACTCATATGTTGGGAGTACCCTAAAACATGCATTTGGTGATGTACTCATCTTAACAAAATTTTTAAACCCATAATATTTCTTCTAAGGAGATGTAGATATATATGGACATGACACATTTTGCATAGGGGTGATAGTCCTATCTGAAAACTGAAATGCGATTAATTATAGTTGTCAAGTCTCTTCTGGAGATGCCAGATGGGTGCACTTCTGCATTATTGGCTTCAATTCTGGAGGACGTTCTGACACAGATACTGCAGACTTCTCCAAATTTTTCTCCTTGTTGAAAAATTTCACAACCCACCTTTTTATCTTCAGGAAGAGTCATTGAATGGTAATAAGTCATTGGTATCACATATACACATCACCACACACATATGGAAGTTCAAATAGGTGAGAAATGTGCTAATTAAAATGAAGAGCAAATGTTGTGTATGAACAGCGTCATTCCAAAATTGACCAAGGACAGAAGCAAGCTATAACTATTTTCTCCATCCTTGTCTCTCTGCAGTTTATGTTGCCTCCATTAGTCTCTCTGAGTTGGTTCAAGCTGAAGTTTCTTTTAGATATTGGACAACTTTTTGAGTAATTAAGACAAGTTGTAGGAAATAAGATCGAAGATAGCTACTGGATTTTGTTGCAAGAGGAACTCATTTGACTGATAATTGAATTTACCTTTATTTGCAGTTGCTTGTAAGGGAAGATGCTTTCACTCAATTTAAAAGTGAACTTGCTATCACTGAACTTGAGCTTCAGGTTATGCTCATTAACTCCATTGTGTTCTTGAGTTTGGTAAATGAATTTCTCATTGTATGTTTACTTMAATAGATAGTATGGCTTTACATWTTCRATTTTGCTTAATTTTTTGTGTGACTTTGTATCTTTGTCATTGTGAATTGAATTATTACTTGAAACAATTGTAGTATAATTGTGCGATTTACGTTATGTGTACTCTTGGTGCCATAAGGAATCTCCAGTACATGAAAGAACATATGCAATGTGGTACTTATTTGATTATTTCTGGAAGTACTCAATTGTGAAGGACCAATATGGTTATGATCCCATCTCTTAGCATCAACTCATCATTAACAGCCACTTCCCTTCACAGCTGCTCGATATTATTCAATCCCCTTTACAGTTGAAATCTTGCCCTTATAGAAGGTGTTGGCAACAATTTTTTACCTGTATTTTCTGTTTCTTCTGCCATCACATACTATTTTACTGAGATCATAGGTATTTTCCCTCTCTCTTTAGTAAACAAACCCCGGCTCGTGAACTTGATTATTTGGGGGTTATCAGTAGAATTCTAACCTGTCCAACTGCAATCTGTAGACCGCTTTTGTTTTCAGTTTAGTTTGTGGATTTGGATAGTTTCAATTGCTTTTTTGTGATTGTWAAGTAAGGGTYATTTTCATAAACTRGCTTTACTGTATGCTGATATTCACTCATCCCATGCATTACTGCATTCATCTCATCCCACCTCGGATAACACTTTGCTTACACTTGCTTGTGATATAAATTCTGATGATGATARTCGCTTTATCATTCATTTGAGCCATTGCTTTTCCTCTATTCACCTTAGATTTAGGTGCCGATTGAGATCCTAACATGTAATTCCAGTTAGACCGCATCAATCTCATGCCATCTGGTCWAGTTATGTACTTTAAGAAGTACAGAATGAGTGCAGAATGGGCTCATATCCATGTTGCAACTGCACCCATCATCTTGAATCCAGTCTGTGCTAATAAACCTCAGTTGGTTTAGCTGTGACACTGAGATTTAGGTAGCAGCTCTTTACGAYGAGGTTATATTGATGGTGATTTGGTGAACATAAGTATAAGGAKCTTGGAATCTTATTGACCATTTATTCCGGTTGATTGGTGATCTTTATTAGCCTTGTAATAATGATTCAGCATTGTTGGATGCCTGCTTATTTTGCTGATGGTTGGAAAATAAGAAAAACATGAATGTTACTGGTCTACTATCCGATGCTAAAAGACTGATCAAGTGGTTATGGGTGTCAAAAGACCATCATGTTATTCGATTCCCAAATTATCAGTCAACGCTTAACATGACCATTATTCTAGTACCATTCAAAACTCGAATATTGTGAATTTTCATATACAAATTTAGCAGCATTTCACATTTTTTAGCCAAGACTTCAGAGCTGGCCGTAGGAGCTCGTTGTTGATGTATCGCCTTCTCTCTGCAGGCATTATTAAATATGGCAAAAGAAATCGTTAGTTATGGCATTCCAGCAGGTTCAAGAAAAATAAATGGGAAATACATTCAGTCTCTTCTTCTTTTACAGTTACAAGGTAAAAAATGGATACTTTAACCTTCACTTCTTTGTGTACCACATTTCTAAGTAACTGGTTATTGTATCATTCCTCTTTTTTCGCATGATTACCATCACCTGGCTCCAATATTATGTTGATGACATGATATAAACTCATCCACGGATATGACCTTTGAAAAATTCAATTATTCACCTGTTTAACGAAACCATGTTTCTTATTGTTTTAATACGTACAAAAAGGCATCCAAGAGAAGTTAAAGAAACAGATAAAGGACGTGGAACTTACACAGTCGAAAGAGGTGTCGTTATTCTGGTCTGGCATGGCAGAGGTGCGTTACAACAGATCATCTTCTGTATCAACTACCGAGAACCTTTGGTCTCCTACCTTTTAAACTTTTTGTCGATATTCCATGATATTTTATGCGATAATATAATTGTCAGTGTGTGAGTGACATCCCTGAACAATGTAGAGATTATAAAGATAAAGTAGCTTAAAAAGAAAAGTTCTTGGAAAAGTGAGGTAAGTATATAGTTTTTAAAGTGCAAAGTGCACATATAATGTGAAATGGGCCGGAAAGTTGATATGGACAAATAACTTAGAACGGGGGAGTACTTAAAAAGGTTATATGAAGTTATTCAATGTGTAGTAACTAGTCAATACTCTTAAGATGTATATGATAATCTGAACATATCGTCCACACATAACATAGTTATAGATATTAGATACTTCCTTAGTCCCAAAAAAAATGTCCATAAATTTTAGAAGTGCGTAATTATTATACTTTCTAATTAACTAAATGACAATTTTATCCTCAATAATAGAGGGAGTGATGAATTTCTCCATCTCATAGTTAAAGGGTAGAATTGGAAAGTCGATGCTTATATTAGGACAAACTAGAAAACGTAGACACCTATTTTAGGACAAACTAGAATATCTTTTTGATGCATGACCTTCTAACAGCTTTGAGGCATTCTTGTGTTAGGAAGAGACATTCTTCTGTTAGGTAGGAGCGTGTTAAATCTGTCAGAAGGTTATGTATCTAAGAGAATCTGGTTATACATTTAAAGAAAAATCTGTGAGATGGTTATACTTCTAAATAATCCTATAGCCATTGTGTTTTAAGGAAAAAGAGTCTTATTGCGATGTACTGTGCTAGAATAATGATAACTGGGGTTACCTTTTCTTCTTCTCATTTTGCAAACAATTTTATTGGCAAGAAATTGACTGGGGGTTGAGTTTATCGAATCTTAAATTTATTGCAAATTATAAAATTAAGGCCTCACGTTAAGTAATACGTGCAATTTCGGTTTTCATATCATCTTTTCTGTAATATAAACAAAGTTCTTGTTTCTGTTTACCAACAAAACAGAAAGAAGTGCTTCATCAGCTAGTTTGGCAAACATCGCCTTAGACAGTTAATGATGAACTTTCTCCCTATTTGATAATTACGTCTCTTAATTCACTATTCGCGGTGCTATATTCTAATGGCACTTGACTTTGACTCGGACTTAGTAACTGATATGCTCATTTTTGGTTCCAGAGTGTGCAGGTAATGGGTTCATTCGATGGCTGGAGTCACGGAGAATACTTATCAGCAGAGTATACGGGTTCTTACACTAGGTTCTCCACATCAATAATGCTTAGACCTGGAAGGTACCCTCCCTTTGACAAAATAATACTTCCTTCGTCCCAAAATATGTGTCCGTATTTCTATTTTAATTTGTTAAATAAGTGTCCACTTTTAGAAATAAATGCCTACTCTCCGATTCTACCTTTAATTAAGAGATGAAGAAACTCTTACTTGCTCTGTTATAAAGGGTAACATTGTCAGTTAGTTATGGGAAAAAACCGAAAAAACCCAACTGTCTTTCATATTTTGAACGATTAAGTCTTGGTTGAACAAATAAATCCACAAAAAACTGAAATCGAGCAAAATGCTCTTTCTTTCCTGTACAAATGACCGGAAACCGGTAATCGTGGTATAAAACATCTTTATCATGTGACTTTTAAAGTTCAAGAAAAAACAAAAAAAACATATGGCATGGAATCAGTTGGCTCCCTTTCACGACTCGGCTGCTCCCACCACTTACTCGTGGTGACTCAGGGCCGCGATAGCCTCCCCCATCCGACACACTCAGCTCCCCCTCTCCGTCTTTCATGTTCTTAGTCTCTCATGGCTCAAAGCCCATCCCCCTTCTCAGTCTTTCTTTTTGAACTTTGACTGCTTGTAAGAATTTATTCGTTCCAAAAAATATCAAGGGGCTTAATTGCTCAAAATATGAAAGTGTTTCGGGTATTTTTTTTCCGAATTTTTCTCATGATTTTACCACGATAACCGGTTTTATTGGCCAGAAGGATCAATTTGTTCCGTTTCAGTAAGTATAAGTATTTATCTGTTCAAAAAAATGTGCAAGCACTTAATCGCTCAAAATATGAAAGTTAGTTGAGTTTTTTTGGACTATTTTTCTTTAGTTAATTAAAAGTATAATAACTACATATTTCTAAAATTACGTGCCTTTTTCATTGTGGACATTTATTTTGGAACGAAGAGAGTAACGTAATTGTGTGGCTATTAGTCAAATATCTAAAATACGTATGAATAACAACAATCTAGTGGGATCTCGTGGACCAAACTCAACGGCCTTCTCTAATATGGTTATTTATGCGTAAAGAGAGAATTTTAGAGCGAAACTCCTACAAAGGGGAATGAGGCATCATTTGGCGACATTCCCATTTGCAACTTGTAGCATTTATTTTAGAATGGAGAGAGCTGCTATATCTTTTTCATCGTTAATTAATTTTTTTTTGAACGTATTAATTTGGTAATGAAGGTATGAAATCAAATTCTTGGTGGACGGTGAGTGGCTCTTGTCACCGGATTATCCGACTGTTGGAGAGGGATTACTCGAGAATAACTTGTTGATCATTGAATAACACTCGATCCAATGTGTCGTCGTAATTACTTAATAATGTAACGTGTGAAGTGATCGATATGCATGTTTCACCTTTTACTCAACTTGTAGTTCTATTATCATACCAACATTGTATATATTCTTCTGAAATTGCTTCTAGTTTTCACATTTTCTATTTTATTGTCTTAAAAGAACTAATAAATTTTCTTTTGAAAATGACCTATTTGTGCATAATAAGATTAGGGACAGACCCAGAAATTTTTTCAAACGATGGCACCATTTGACCATAAGAAAAAAACATGGGGAAAATTTTCAAACAGTGGCACCGTTTGACTATAAGAAACAAATATACGAATTTTTTTAAAACGGTGACACTATTTGACTAAGAAAATGACACTAACAAGATTCGAACTTGGGGGTGGGTGGAATAAAAGCCTTGCAAACCAACTCTACTAAATAAAACTTGTTCTTATTATAGTTTCAAAATACATACGGTGGCACACAACAAATTAATACGGTTGCACCGTTCATGAAACCTAATTTTTTTACCCTTCGGCGGAGAAATAATACGATGGCACGTGCCACATATACCACAAGCCTAGGTCCGTCCATGAATAAGATAGTTAGGGAACTGAGTTTGAGGAGAATTAGTTTGTAAAGTTTGTTTTGTTCAGGGGTATGATGGGTATTTTATTGAAGTTAATTAGTTTACTTATTTTCTTGTTAAGTAGTGTATGAATAAAACTAAACTAGAACAATACTCGTACAATGCAGTGAGATATATTTCGATTTTAATATTTTATTTTATTCTTTGTTGCTATCGACGCTATAAATACGATTTTATGTGTTTTTAAGAAAGCGATAACGAATTTATTTTTTAAAAAAATATAAATTTGAAGATATAAAAATTTAGAAAAAAATATATCAATGTTGGTATAGATTAACTATTTAAAAAAGTTCTTATAATTTAATTTAAGTTCAAGAACGAGGCAATTTATTTTTGGTCAAATAATATAACATTTTATAAATATAATAATTAAGTATTCCGTTAGAACTCGATGATTATCCTAATTATATATTAGATTTTTATATTTAAAATGAGATGTTTATCATGTATTTGATTATGCTTATCTGCAGTTAGTTACACGAATTCAGACATGGAGTTTTAATAAGTTGTACTTACGTACAATCTACTTGTAATCTTGAATTTTAAGAAACATGCATTAATAAACAGTACTTTATGTATAAAAATGATTTTTAATTTTTTTTGTCAAATGCTTTATAATATAGTACAGATAGTTATTTGTTTGTTATGCTGAATAAATAGTCTAATTGTCAAAAATAGTTATTTTGCTCTTTGGTCTAGATTAAACACCAGACTACAATAATTTTTAATAAATGTGATTAATGCAAATTCTTGAGCGTGCAAGGTGAACAACAGGTTAGGCGAGACAACAGGACTACGCTACAGATAAATACTCATGTCTTGGCTTAATGTATTCAACAAGCCCTACTTAGCTCGTGAATTAAGTCATGGACTTACGTTGTGTTCTCGAATTTGGAGGAAAATAAGGAAAATAGTTTTTTTTATTTGTGTTTTCGAGAGGGAAGAAAAAAGGAGAGGAAAAGAAATAAAATGATTTTCATGTTATTGAACATAAGAGAAAGGAAATAAATGTCACTTTTACAAATATACCTTTTAAAAATATATCATATAAAATGAAATCAGTAGTTTTTTTTTTATTAACCTGGATATCCAACCTGCTATACGAGCTGACTAATCCCAGGGTGAGGGCGACCACCTGCTTTGCAGATAGTCCGGAGTCACCGCATTTGAACCTCCGTGGCCACAAGGAGATTTTTATTACTCATTGGATTTGAATCTGGGACCTCCTGGCACTTTTGACCTTTGGAGTCAAGCTCAAACCAATCAGACACCACCCTTGTGGTCGAAATGAGTAATTTTCCCACATGTGAGAGGAATGTTTTGGACACGTGTTTTTTTTTGTTGGTTTAAAGAGTTTCAAGAACACGGTTTTTTTTTTTGTTTTTTTTTTTTACGTTCATCTCATTTCCATCCCTTTCCTTCATGATAAACGTTTCGAGAACACATCCTTAATGAATAACAACAAATAAACACCCATGTATGTCTTACCAAATAAGTCATACAAACCATTAAGCTTGTTAGGTGAAAAACACCTCTCCTAAGTTTTTAGATCTAATGCTTGTTTACCGACATGAACCATATAACGTTACGAGAAGTCGTGTTTGACCCATATCGCTCGATTCTCCATTCCAATCTTTCGAATCTCAACAACCAAAATAGACCCACAAAAAGTGGATTGCATATCTTTGTAAAATGGGTATTGATCTTTTGGTTTGGCATTGTAGTGATGTTTTTTGAGTGTTAAAAGTTGGATTTTTTTCCCTTTGTTTAATGTGATGTGCAATTATTTGATTTGCTTAAAATGTTAATGTGTCACAACTCATAATATTTGATTGGTGAAAAGGGATAAAAGTTGCATTTATTTTATTTAGTAAATGGCACCATCTTGTATTTTTTTATTAACCTGGATATCTAACCTGCTATGCGAACCGACTAATCCCAGAGCGACCACCTGCTTTGCAGATAGCTTGGAGTCACCGCATTTGAATCTCCCTGGCCACAATGAGATTTTTATTCCTCTTCGGATTTGAACATGAGACCTCTTGGTACTTTTGACCTCTGAAGCCAAACTCAAACCAATTAGGCACCACCCTTGTGGTTTACCATCTTGTAATTGTCATAGATGCAAGTGGAAGCACCTTTTCTTGTTGATTGCTATCACCAAGATTTGGGTAGTGATGTGGGATTCTTTGTGGTTTTATCCCGAAAGAATATATTAATATGTGCAGATGTTTATATGATCGGTTTTAATTTCTAAACGTATTATTAGATTTTTGTGGATCATGTCTAGAAGTGCACAAATGGGTCTTAGGATGTGGATGTGTTCCACCCGACTAAGAGTCAGGGATTGTTTGACAGTAACTGAATGGTTTGGTGCAGAATGATTAAGTGATCAGAATAATTAAGAGGCCCTCATTATATAGTGCAAAATGAAATATAAGTATTTGGTAATTATTTACAACGAAATTGAAACGTTGAATGGTTAAGATAGACCCATGATACAAAATAATTCAGAGGGTTTTAGAACCATTAAAAGACAGATACAAGATTCACCCTTAACGATTCAGATGCGGCCTCTTAATGGAACTATTAAAAGGTAAACAAACCACCCTTAAGACTAGTTACATAAAAAGGCTATAATTGGCCTCGTCTAGTCCCGAAATTCCAATTAAGTTTTACAATTTTATCGATAGCTAGTTATTGGCATTGCAAAGCCTTGTCCAAGCTTGATGTCTAGAGCTGCACAAATGGGTCTAAGAATGTCAAGAGGGAAGCTATTGCTCCTTTTTTTATGAAGGCTTGTAATTGGGTCTGCTTCAGCCCTAAAACCCGATTACAATTTTGGTGAAGAACGGTTACTATAAAGCCCGATCAAGTCTGTTAATGATTCCAATCAGGAGTGGTCAAAAAAGTCAAAAAAATGGTTTTTTTTTAATATTTGGTTTTTAGATTTTTTAACTTGTAGAAAGATATGTTTGTCTTTGCCCCTCATAACCGGCTACCTTAACGGCATTATAGGATATCTAATTTGTCGGGTTTTATGTCCTTTTAATATATATAGGATTTATTCCAACTTTTATATATATATATAGGGGTCCAATCAAGAGAGAACTTAATTGTTTGTGATAACTGTGAGATCTAATCTTAACCACACATTATTAATAATCAATGATTATTATTAAACATATTAATTTTGATAATTATTCATTAATTTTGGTAATTATTCATTAATTTTCAAATAATTTAAATTTACTGATAATATATAAGGGTAAATTAGTCTTTTTAAAATCTCTCCCTCCCCCTCTCTCTTTCTATCCAGCCAAGAATTTCTAATAGTAAAACACAATAAATATGATACACGTGGTACCCAAAAATTTATAATAGTAAATCACAAACCAATTGTGATACATATTGTGATACCACTGTGATAATGTTTTGAACATGGATTAATAACATATGTGATATGAGTTTTAGGCCACATACAACCACAATGTGATACGTGACTATGATACAAGTTTGTTGAGATAATTAAAGAAAACCAAATTCTTGATAATTAAGGAAAAGGAATTTGATAACTATTAAATAAGAAAAATATTTAAATTATAATTAATCATTTTACTAAAATGCCATTTACCTATTAATTAAAGTAATACAATTAATATTATAAAATGATTGTTTCATATTGGACCTCACGGTTATAAACTAATTAGTTTCATTTGATTATATATATATATATATATACACTTTTGGTACCACAAAATAAAAAATAAGAGGACCATTATTTTTTTTAATGGGTGCGTTTGGTTTGCGGGATTGGAATGGAATTGAGGGGATTTGGATTTGAAATCCATTCCAATCCAGTGTTTGGTTTGCTGGATTGTGAGAAATTGAAATCCAAGGATTACTTTGAAATCCCATGAACGATGGATTTGGAAATCCTTTGAAAATACACGGGATTTTAAAATCCATTCCAGATTACACAGCTTACATCGTCTCCATCTCCATATCCATATCCATATCCAGAGCTAAACATCGCTCCATCTTCTCCCACATCTTACATCCCTCGCCCTCTCCCGTCGTCGTCGCCGTCGGCCCTTCGTCGCCGTCGCCCTTCGTCTCCGTCGCCCTCTCCCGTCGTCGCCGTCGCCCTTCGTCTCCGTCGCCGCCTCCGTCGGTGGTCGTCGCTCACCGTCGCCCTCGCCGTCGCCCACTGCCTTCTCCCATCACTCAACAGGTAAATCCGTTTTCCCCTAAACTATTAACACAGATTAGGTTAAATATACAGATTAGGTTCAATTTTGCTGTAGTTCTCGATAATTTTGCTATAGTTCTTGATAATTTTGCTGTAGTTCTCGATAATTGTCAATTGAGTAAGGAGACCCAATACTACAAATCCTATAAACCAAATAGAGGAAGGATTTTAAATCCAATCCAATCCAAATCCCATGGAATCCAAATCCCTCATGGGAATCCAAATCCTTCAAAAACATTCCTGCAAACCAAACGCA